TAATTAGAAACTTGCAAGCCCAGGACCACTAACTAGTAAATCCAGCAGCCCATTAACTAATTTGCATTATGACAGAGTTTGGTGGCAGGTACGCAAATAGGAAGCCAGTGTCTTTCTCTTACATCCTATACACACCTTCTAGTCTTTTGACATTGTTCCCATAGAGGGAAACTTTCAGGATTGCTGGATAACAAGAGTTGATGTTGCTATGTGTACCACTGTTGAACATAGGGTCTTTCACCCTTGCAACTGACTGCTAAGCTTCTAGGCAAAGGGACTGCATCATAGGGAGCACCTGTCCTGAAAACCAGCCCATGTCTTCCAAAGAGGAAACCAGGTTCTGATCGCCCACTTCCACAACCAGTGATGACGGACATGGTAACTAGGGAAAAGAAGTAAGTTCAATTTGATTGATAATCAACACTGACCCTTGGAAGCAATGAATGGAACATGCTTTTCCATCCAACACCTAGGCTTTTGAACTAGTGAGGTGGTGGCCAAGCAAAAGCTCAGGAGTAGCATGGGAAAAGGTTGAATGGACAATCTGTGTCTACTGTGGTAATAGTGGCCAAACTTAGGACTGATACCAGCAGGTGGTGCCATGCTGCATGTTGACCATGGCTGCAGGATTAGAAGAGGCACCAGGAACAATCTTTGGTTTGACAGAGGATGAGAAGTATAGTCAGTAGTGTGAAGTGCTAGCAAGAGAAGAAATTCCAGGATACCAAGGACAATCATGGTAATAGTCATCCAGTGTCTGCCCACATACTCAGACTGCAGCTCATTCCAATTGTAGTTACACTGTGTTGTTACATCCCTTTTAAACTGCCTACTTCAGTGTGAAAGCGGTAATCAGGATCTCTATCCAGAATGCTTGCATAACCTACAAATATGGTCTCTCCAACTTAAGAAGCTGGCTTGACAACATGAAATCTAGAGATCCTTTCTGATAAGGGGACAGGTGAGCACAGTGTAAGGCTATCAGTCCTAGAGTCAACTGGTTTGCAAGACTTTGCCAGAGCCAACAATCTCTTTCCGATTTCACTTTTTGAAGTGGATGTAGGGATGTACGGAAGTGCTAAAACCTGCTAAGTCTATGGAAACAGGGCAGGTCAGGAAAGGCCAGTCTACTGTGGAATCCATGGATTAGATTCTTAGAAATGTGAACTCCCTGGAGTTCATTACAGATTTTTCCAATATCCTAGATGAGATAGGTACAGGATCTTGCATAGGGTCCATCCCTAGTACCAATTTTGTAAGTTGGGCTCAAAGTGGTAATGGTGAATTGAGCAAGGAACACTGATATAGATAACCAAGACTGATACCTAACCCATAACCAACCTGACTGCTGTCTTCTTTTTATATCTTCTTGAGCTCCAGAAAGGGCTGTTGTGCTTTGGCTTTTTGCAATAGCTCCTTGCTACCATCAGCTTCAATAACTAGCAAGGTATGGGTTGATATGGCCAAAATGGAGAAGAAGCAGTCTCCAACCCGTAAAGGCCAGTATGAGAATACAAGGGTCTTAGAGGCCTCAAGAAGGGTGTCCTTTGTTACTCATGCAATTTTGAAGGCTTTTTACCACAAAACAGCCTGAACCCTGCCAGAGCAACTATGCCCTGTGTCCTACTCCTAGGCAGAAAAGATACAAGGAGTGCCCATCAGGAGGAAATTTACCGTCACACTGGACACATTTCCAAAATTGGGACCTCAGGGCTCTCGTTCATAGTCAACCATAAAGATCATAAATGGAAATTAAAAGAAAATTTTTCAGCAGTCATAATATGAATAGTAAGCAATGGGAGAATTTCTCTATGGGCCTACCACAATTGCAGATGAAATATAACTGAAGGAATAGATATGAACCCAATGAGGATGCACACTGGGATAACTGGGGACTGTTCCTACCAAAACGTCCTTAGCTATCTACTGAATTTCCTGAACTTGAGTATTAGTACATTCTAACTATGGGTAGTCCTAAAATCAGAAGAAAAAAAAACAGTTTTGTGAACTCAGACATAATGGGAATGGGAAGTCAGACGTAATGGGAATATAAAAATGAGATGGTATGTGGTACAAGCCCAAGGCTGAGTACTGCTCATTCTCATTATTCTAAACGCGCAATCTTTCCCAACCAGTCAGTGGTCATACGGGGCTGGGAAGACAAAGTTGTACACCAACTTACCTGGCTACTGGAAAGGCTGTTTGAATGTTACATTTGAACTGAGCATGTATGTTATATATATTTGCTGAAATCAATGTAATGTAGGATATGCTTGGAGCAAGCGCCATTGAACATAGTGCAGGGGTCTCAAACTCGTAGCCCGCGGGCCAATTGCTGGGATGGGCGGGGCACAGGGGAGGGGCCCTGCGGCCTTCAAAGCGCCGACGGCACCCGGGCCGGCCGCGGGATGAGCAGCCCACCACCACCACAGTGGTGAAATACGTGATGTGGCCCAGCCTCACCCAGACTCTACTTCCAGAGGCCCCCAGGTAAGTTGAGTTTGAGACCCCTGACATAGTGGAATTTATTTCTGAATGAACATGCACAGTCAACAGTGGGACATAATACTATGGTACCTCAGCTCACAAACGCCTTGGTTCACAACTAAATTGGGTTGCGAACAAAAATTTCATGAAAATTTTGACTTGGGTCACAAACTCGGCATTGGGTGGTGACCAAGATTGCAGCCATCTCCCTCCCCGCCCCAAGTGGGGAGATGGCCACAATCACAGTTGTGTTCATGCAGGGAAGACGTGCGTGATCATGGGTGCACTCCTGCAGGAAAGACGGGCGCAATCTCGGCCCTCCCCCACCCCAACCAGCATGATCACGGCCCTCTTCCCGCCGCTCGAGTGGGGAGATGGCCACTATCACAGTCGTGTTCATGTAGGGAAGACATGCGTGATCACGGCTGTGCTGCACCCGTCTTTCCTGCAGGAGCATGCCCATGTCAGGATTTCTTTGCGAAGCACCATCCCAACATAACTGTAACAAACAGAGTGTTGAATCTGATGAACGATAACGTGGTCTCTCATTTCTGGAGGGTAGATGCAGCGCAGGAAAAAACAAGATTTTTCACCAAAATTGACCTTCCAGCTACGAGACAAAGAAGAGAAGAAACCCCTGAAAGAGACCTCCCCAATGTCCTTATGGAGGGGAACTCTCCCTCAAAACAATAACCGCCCCCACCTAGGTTAGTGTTCTCCACTGTACTGTACTTTGTTACTTTGTTGTTCTTTGTTTCAAATTTTTCTGATTAAAAAAAATAGTTACAGAACAGATTAACCTTATTTACATTGAACCTTGTGGGGAAATTTGACTTGGCTCACGACCAAAAATTGGCTCACAACCACATTCGGAGGGGCCAGAATGAATTAACCTTATTTACATTGAATCTTATGGGGAAATTTGACTTGGGTCACAAACAATTTGGATCACAACCAGAGTCGTGGAACGGATCAAGTTCATGAGCCAAGGTACCACTGTATAAGGTAAAAATATACCTTTGTGGTGCTTTGTATCACTATCTTGTCACATTGCAGGCATGTTACTAAAATTCTCTAGTACATATATGACATATATATTTTCCTAAAGAAAGTAGTGTTGAATTTGCTTATGGAGAAACCTACTCTAGGTCCAATGGTTTCTGCTGTCTCATTATCCTGGTTCTCTCAATGACTTCTGACAACCTTCAGCCATGTTAAACATTTGGATTGTTTATCTTGATTGGACTTTGGAGTCATAGTATCATGATGGTTCTAGTCCAGGGGTCCTCAAATGTTTCAACAGGGGGCCAGTTGACTGGGTGCGGGCCGCCAAAGCAGTGCGGGCGGGGGGGTGCGGGCCGATGCGGGTCCAAAACAATCTCCATGCAAGCAAGCCACCGCCAGGTACGTGCACAGCAAGGCAGCGGCTTGCTCACGCGGAGATCGTTTTCTCCGAGCGAGTCCAAAACAATCTCCACGTGAACAAGCCGCCGCCTTGCCTGACTGTGTGTGTGCACGCGCGGTGAGCCCTAAACCTCTGAGGATCTGGCCCGTGGGCCATAGTTTGAGGACCCATGTTCTAGTCCTTCTTGGAGGACTGAGCTAAAGTGGTGGTGCTGTTTCACCCCAACCACTGTTTTAAAACAGTGACGGGTAATCGTTTTTCTGTTGAGGCCACATATTGCTGGCAAACTCTGTCACTCTTTTTCTCTTTCTTCATGCAACCCTTTTTTGCTTTTCTCCCTCCTCATTCCCACAGACTGGGTGGCCAGGGAACTGAAGCAATGTTCTTGCCAGAGGTCTTAACTGATGGGATGCCAAGAGCTTTTGAAATTAGGCTGAAGGGCTAATTGTTCAGTGCTGGTCTATAGCGTACCACAAAGTTCTGTCTTGTCTTTCCCCCATGCTTTTCATCACCTATGAAACCACTAGAGAAAGTCATCCAACAGTTTGGATTGAATGCAGGGGATACTTTGCTATACCTTTCCTTTCCAGCTACTGATTCTAGGGAGGTTGTAGAATTCCTGAACTATTGTTTGGAGGCAGTTTTAGGATGGATGGGGACAAAGAAGCTATGTCCTAGTCCAGATGGAGGTGCTGTAGGTAGGCAAATCAGGTACTCCGAATAAAGGTTGACAGCTAGTTTTAAATGAGTTTGCAGTCCCTCTAAATGACAGAATGTACAGCTTGGGAGTTCTGCACATGTTGCTAACTGGGGAAGCTAAGATGTTGGAGACAGCATTTTCAGAGCTTTTGATTCTAATGCTTTTTCTTTTTCTTATCACTCAGTCCTTGTTGTTCCATAATCTACTGGGATTGTGGACAGGGAAGGACTGTTTATGGCAACGTAACCTTTAAAAGGATATTCTGACCTCCGTAACTATTACACAGATAGGGAATACATGTGTAAGACTAAACAAGGTAACACCCCCTCCTCTACAAACACACACACACAACAACAACCCTGAACACATAGTGTTGCATGATACTGTGAGAACAGGTTTTCAAATTACCTGTTGTGAACTGGGGCTTACAGGGTGGCTCCTGAACAGACATGGGGAAGTTGGCAGAGGCAGGAGAAGACTGGGCTCGGGAAAGTGGTCGATGCCCTCCAAAGGACACTGAAATGCCAGCAGCTTCCATGGATGCCTGGTAGTTCCTCAGCTGATGAATGCGTTGCTGCTCCAATAGAAGGGCTTGCTGTTAGGGAGGATGAATTTTCGTTATGGCTTCAAGAACTGAACAATGCATTTCATAATTTGCATCGCAGTTACTGCTTTCTTTCTGACAGTAAACAATTACTTTACCTTACTTTACTAGCCAGCTACTTTATTTAATCTATCTATCTTTAATCTGTCTATGCCACTTGTTTGTACCTTAAAAAGTCTCTCAATTTTTTATGCCCTATAACCTTCTGCCAGGTTTCAAAGCTGTAATTCTTAAACTTGAAAATCACAATTTGGCCAGAATGATAGGGTTTTATTATTGTTATTATTTTTATTATTATTATAACATTTCTATGCTAAAAAGTTCTATTTTAGCACCCTATCTCTTTAGCACCCTATTTCTCTTAAGTTATAAGAGAAAGGGTTACCACATTCTGAAGTAGGCATAATTTCTATGTGATGGCATAACATAAAAGTCTTCAACTGATGGATGAAACCTAGGATGTGCCACCTCCACCATCACATGCAGAGATGGTAGAGATGGTAAATAGGCAGGTTGCTTACCTGTAACTATCATTCTTAGAGTGGTCATCCATGTATTCACACATTATGGGTGCTGTGCCTGCGCGGTGCCTGTTGCCAGGAGGATTTACTATCTTTAATGGTTTTTGGTGGGAACTCCGCGCCTTCCCCCCCACAACAGTATAAATGGCCAGAGTGCCCACCCTTTCCCCAGTCAGCTGAAGACCATCCATTCACCCCCAGGTGGAGTTGGCCGGTATTGAATCCAACACACAAGGGACAAAGAAATAGAAACAAAATACATACACACATACATACATATAGTATATCTAGAGGTATAGTATACCCAGTCACCGACATCAAGTGGGGCCAGTGGGAGGGTTGTGTGAATGCATGGATGACCACTCGGAAAATGACTGTTACAGGTAAGCCACCTGCCTTTCTTCATCGTGGTCTCCGTGCATTACACATTATGGGTGATTAACAAGCTTACCACACCCAGAAGCGGGACGGTGTCGTCACTGGAGAACTGTGGAGAGGATGGCACAGCCAAAGGAGCAATCCTGTCTGGCCTTGACGTCTAAGCGGTGGTGCTTTGTGAAAGTGCACAGAGTAGACCATGTGGCCGCTTTGCAGATATCTTGCAAGGGGATGCCTGCACGGAGGGCAGAAGCAGCAGCAACAGCTCTTATGGAGTGTCCTTTTGGAGTAACAGGTAAATCCAGTTTTGAAAGGTGATAAGCCAGTTCAATTGTCTTGACGATCCATTTCGAAAGTCTTTGAGTACTAATGGGAGCTAGCTCCCTTGTCGTGTTGAGTAATTGACAAAAAGCCGTTTGGTTTTCCTGAATGACTCAGTTCGGGATCAATAGAAGGCTAAACATCGACAGATGTCCAGGCTATGTAGAGAGTACTCGATCGATGTCAACATAGCAGGGAAATAGGCAGGTAGAACAATGTCCTGATTAAGATGAAAAGAAGTCGCAACCTTGAGCAGGAAGGCTGGATTGGTGTGGACTACTTTCTCCTTGTGGAAGTTTAGGTATGGAAGACACGAAGGGCACACAGTTTGCTGGCTCTTTTGGATGAAGTAATAGCTACTAAAAATGCTGTTTTCCAAGTGAGAAGGCAGAGATCCGTTGTAGCTAGTGGCTCAAATTGAGGCTTAGTGAGAGCCTTTAGGACGACAGAGAGGCTCCACATCGGGACTACTGATCAGGTCAGTGGTTGAAGGTTTTGCAGTCCTTGTAGGCATCGATGCACAAGGAAATGCAAGAATACAGATGAACCTCCAATGCACCCTCGATGATGCGAGATAGCTGTGATATACACCTTAGTGGAAGAAGGGTTAAGACCTCCATGGTGTAACGAGAGTAGAAATTTTAGAATGTTTTCAATGGTAGCAGATTGAGGTAGAAATTGGTTAGCAGCAGCAAAGGAAGTGAAGCACCTCCATTTCGCACTATAGGAACATTGTGTGGTTGGTCGTAGTGCAGACAGAAGAATAAGCTGTATATCAGGATGAAAGTTGGTTGGGTCCAAGGAAGATGTGGATACCAAGGTCGATCCTGAAGGCAGTATCGGTATGGAAAGTTCTGATGCTGTAGGCACAGCTGTAGAAGAAGCAGGCGTTGATCCCAAAGAAGGTGAATACATCGAATCTGAGGAGACCGTCGGTATCAAAGCAGGAGGAACAGTCAATGAACAAGCCAGGCAGTGAGATTTAGAGAATGTAGGTCTGGATGTTGTATGCATTCCTGAGTGAAAAGATGAGGAACTTGAGGTAGGTGAAGAAAATTGTTGTGTGACAGTTGGAGAAGAGTGGGGAACCATGACTGACGGGACCACCAAGGGGTGATGAGAATTCCATGGCCATCGTCTTGTCGGATTTTGGCTATGGGCCTTGCTATTAGCGGTATCGGTGGAACACATGGAAGAATTTGTTCTCCCACAAAATCATGAGTGCATCCCTGACCGAATCCAGGCCGATGCCCACTCTGGAGCAGTATATCCTGCAGATGGAGTTATCATAAGTCACAAACAAGTCTATGTCTGGAGTTGAAACAGATGTTGAAAAACTTGTCGATCTAGTTCCCACTCATGCATTGTTGACATGTGTCTGCTGAGAGAGTTGGCTTCCTCACTGTCGGTGCCTGCAAGATAGACAGCTCGAGGAGTATTCCTATGGGCAATGCACCAGTTCCACATGCAAAGGGTGAGGTGTGTCAACAGTACCGACTTCATACGGCCCTGTTCGTTTATGTAGAACACGGTCACCAGATTGTCCAACGCTATGTGCACCATGCGGTCTGGTAGGATGATTTGGAAGGAACACAGTGCTTTGAAGACTACCGGCAATTCCAGGTAGTTGGTGTGCCTGGTGGTTTCGTGTCCATGCCAGGTGCCTTGGGTCTGAAGAGACGGACAATGGGCACCCCATCCAGTCAGGGAAATGTCGGTACAGTGTCACGGTCGGTTCCAGTGCATGGCATGTAATTCCACAGGAGAGATTGGTATCAGTCATCCACCAGGACAAGGTCTAGAGGACTGAGTGCAGAGGTTGTAGTAGCCAGTTCAGTCGATCGCGTCTGGGTGGAAACTGTGATTGAACCAGAGCTGCAAAGGTCTCATTCGCAGCCTTGCATTCAGCACCACCGATGCTGTGGATGCCATGTGAACAAGCACTTACTGGCTCAAGTGTGCAGAGACATTCCATTGGACAGTGATACATTGGATTGAAGAAAGCAGTCTTTCCTCTTGGTCCCAAGGAAGGAAGGCTCGTGTGCGTAAAGTCTAGACATGCTCCGATGAAACTGATGACCTGAGAAGGGACGAGGGACAATTTCTCAGTATTAATACAGAGTCCAAGTCGATCTGGCAGGGAACAGACAGTATTGATGGAAGCCAAAAGGTCAGGGATGTGAACCAATCCTCTTTTCTGAGTAACGGGAGTATATTCTGGAGTGTAGTCACTCTGATTTTTTAAAATATATTTATTGACCCCATGCAAGTCTAGAATGGGGCATAGCCCACCGTCTTGTTTTGGTACCATAAAGTACCTGGAGTAGAAACCGTGCAGTCCTTCCGAGCTATGAAGTTTACGAATCGCTCCCTTACGAAGCAGCTCAGTGACTTCATCCAGGAGGGCTTGAGAGGCTGCAGTATACCGGATCAGGCTGGAAGGTGGCACAGTCTCAAAAACGATTTTATATCCATGTTCTACAATGGTAAGAACCAACCTATCAGATGGGACTCCCAGATGGGGAGTCAGCTTTTCAGCCAGTCCTCAAAAGGGAGACGGGAAGGTAGGTTAAAGGATTGCAGAGAGGTTTGTGCATCCTATCAGCATTGCCGTTTGTCAGCCTCTGGTTGGTGCCTAGGTTGCTGGTATCGAGGCACATTTTGTCTTCTCTGTTGTCTTCGGCCATACTGCTGGCATCCCATGAGGTATGGCTGGTGGTAGGGCTGGTATCAGTACTGGGACCTGGTCCACGGCCACTTATGTCTCTGCTGCAAAGAATTTTCCATGCATTGTGCTGTTGGTTGAGTTTTGTGGATATTTTCAAGTTTGTCATCTGTCTTCGCACTGAATAGTCCAGAGCTGTCAAATGGCATATTCTTGATGCATTGTTTAGTTTCTTGAGGTAGATTTCCGGATCTCATCCTGGCATGATGGTGAAGGGCTATGGCACTGAGAGCCCTGGAGTCACAATCACCATGATGTCTCGCTGTGTTTAGTTGTTGTCTGGACAGCTGCATTGCCTCCCTGATGAATAAGCAGGCCAGCTCCCTTTGCTGGTTCGGGAGGTATGCAGCGAGGGACTCGATCTTTTGCCAAAGGAAAAATTGGTAACGGGCCATGGTGGCCTTGTAACTGGAGATCCGTAGACCAAGTCCCATTGCAGCACAGATCCGGTAAGACATCATGTCAATTTTTCTGCCTTCTTTATCAGCCGGAGTTGAATGTTCCCTGGTTTGCCTGCCTTGCGAAGACTCAATGACTACTGAATTCGGCTGTGGGTGTTTAAGCAGGAACTGAATGTTTTGCTCCCAAACTTTATACATCACCTCTAAACGTCTAGAGGTGGCATGTGGGTGATTTGGGAGCTGCCAGGTGTCAGTCATTGCCTGTCAGAGGGTGGTGATAAATGGCAGGGTGATGAATGAAGAGTCTTCTTTATGCACAATGTCATAGATATTATCTTGATTGGCATCTGTGTGATGTTGAATGTCTATCTCCAGTGACTTTGTCATCCATGAGAATAGCTTGGAAAAGCAACCGTGGGAGTTGTCCGGAGACCCTGGACCTTGGGTGGAGATTGCGGCATTGGGAAAGGTGGAGGTTTGATGAGAGTCCCCCAAATCCAAATCGGATTGATAAGGTGAACTAGATGAGGACCCGTCAGGAGATGTTGGTGGATGGGTGAGAGCCTCATCAGAATTTGATGAAGTGTCCCTCAGTACAGAGTGAGGGGTGGAGTGATGGGGACACATTGGTGGTCATGGGTAGTATCCGTGTGGGGGGTAGAAATCCCATGAGTAGGGCCAATCAAAGTGGTCGGGGTCAAATTCTCCATAGGGTAGAGGGACCCAGTACCTCAATGGTTGTAGTGTGGGAGCCTGGGGTGGTAAGAGGGAGGAGGGGCACTGAGGTGCCCTCGGAAAACCCTCCGGAGATATCAGCATTAGAGTTGGCGATGCACAGGTGGTTGGTATGGTCGTGATTGAGGAGGAGATTCCTGGATCTCGGCATCAAACATGGATTCTCTGGTCAAGGGATCGGAATGCTCGGGACTTGAAGGTGCCGAGATGGTAATCCATAGTGGTGACACTGGTGGAGTCATCTGCATGACGGATTGGTGGATTGATGGTTCAACTGGAACTAAGATTGGGACCGAGATCAAAGCAGCAATTGGGTCAGAGTGGGACACTTCGTCATGTTTTTTGTGCCTGCACTCAGATTTGTCGGGTTTGTCCTTCTTTGCTTTGGTTTTGACGATCCCTCGGACCTTACATGTTTCCTCTTCTCCTACTGTTTTCAAGGAGGAGAATGTGAGGAGCGCTTTCCCACCCTTGCTGGTGAGATCCCCTTTGGATGAGCGAGGAGGGAGGGCTTTTGACGGACCCGAAGGTGTGGAAGAGCTGGCCTCAGCCGAGACCTGCTTCATAGCGACCAGAGCTTGGTCCCATAGCATTTTGTGCAACCTATTCTCACAGTTCTTGTGAGCCTACCTGGTGAATGACTGGCAGTGGCTGCACTTATCGGTTCTGTGCCCTTCTTCAAGGCAGAGAAGGCACAGATCATGAGGATCAGTGGGAGACATTTTGGCTCCACACTTTGAGCAATTACGGAAGGCCACCCGCTGTGCCATTGAGAGAAAGAAGAGAGAAGACGGCAGAGGTAGTTTGGGAAGAGGATGATAGAAGGTTTTAAAAAAAAATTGGGGGGTTGGGAAGGGGTAAGGGGAAGTGGGGATAGAACAAGAAATAAAGGTAGGGGTTTGGAAAGGGTGAACATGAGTTGGGGGCTATAAAGTAGAGGAAGAGAAAAATTGTAAAGATTTGGAAGAGTACGATTGAAAAGAGGAGGAGATATGGCGAAGAAAAAAAAGCTGGAGGCACGGCAAACAATGGTTGCAAGCAGACTGGGGAAGGGGCGAGCACTCTGACCATTTATACTGCAGGGGGGAGGGCACAGAGTTCCTGCCAAAAACCATAAAGGCTAGTAAATCTTCCCAGCAACAGGCACGGTGCAGGCGCAGCACCCATAATGTGTGATGCATGGAGACCACAATGAAGAAGGAAAGGAGAAACATTGTAAAGAGAGACTGGGATAAAGGAGTAATAGAAAAGCTATGTACATGAATGGATGCACAGAACATAGAAAAATTAGCAGATTTTCAAAATTAAAATGGTTTTTAAAATTAAAATGGATTCATAGGTTCAAGATAATTGTGGATCTGCTATAGTTTCAGACTGTTCTACTAAGCAAACAAACATTTGAATTTAAATTAGAGGTTTTCCTGTGACACCATTATTGATGCTGAGAAGATTCAAAATACAACTCAATTATGCACAAGAATCATTTATAGCTTGGCAAAGATTTATCTCAATGTACATGAAATTATTGATAATCCATACATCTTTAAAAATGAATCAAACACAAAGTCCTTTCGAAAAAAGGAGAATCCAGCTCAAGTGTTCTTCAGGAGCTGACACACTGCCTCAATAAATACCAGCTATGAGGGTTCATGGATGTGATTCATACACAATGGAAAGATGTGCATCATTTCTCACTCAAAACCAAAATGTTCCACCTCTCCATGCAAGACCAGATTGCACACCATCCTTCAGGAAAAGAAGACCATCCTTCTATTTCAGACATAAGAAAGTACAGGGACAGGAAATGAAAGACCTGAAAGGCTTAATGTTCTTCTTCTACAGTGGAAGCAGTTAAGTGAGACAAAGCAAGTACCTCTCTTATGAGCTACTAGTGCCAATCTTACCATGAAAACTGCACCCCAGCTAGTTCAACAACTTCTGTGTGCTGTTGTAAGGAATAGGTAAGGAACAATGGGTGGTATCAAGTATATGATTAGCATTCTTGCCTCCATACAACAGTTGTGCAAACAACACAGATATGTCTCCTTATACAAAGTTCAGAACAAATAACAAACATTCCTGGCTCTAGAAAATATTCATGATGATCTGTACCTGTTTTGCATTCTGCTTTACCTGTCTGAATAGTAGCTCCTGCTCAGCTTGCCTCTGCCCTGGTTCTAGTTCTTGTTGCAACTCTCCATCTTCATCACTTTCAAGAGGTTCTTGCTTCACCTGGACCATACTTGTCAACCCTGGAACTTCCTTTTGATTTGATATCCTGTCAATATATGGGTCCTCTAAAAATGCCTGGTGTTCTCGTAATTCTTCTTCAGTCTCTTCAGGATGGCTTTCATGCTGGCGGGAAGACTCATTTGATTTTGGTATCATCTGGAAATATTCCCCAAATGTACTGTTTTAAGTGTGACAGTCGCAAAACTCTTGTCAAAGATGACTGGCAATAGTGAAGAATGTAATAAAACTACAATTCATTTTCTGATCAATTAAGCCTTGTACTCGCTTGAATTATGTTAACAAATTTTAAATCCTCAAAACATACATATGAATTGGATTAAACCAAGGGTGTAGGTTAAACCAAGAGTGTAGCATGTTGGTTTGCTTTTTTCTTTTTCTTTTTTCTCATTTTTATTGTGCATTACTTAACAACACAATGAGAAAGGGAAAAAGATATTACAGTTTTCCAACATAAAATTTAAAGAAATCCATAACATTCAACACGTTATAATTGCGAATAAACTTCAGAAATTGTAGTCATATATTTATCCATTTACACATTATACCTAAAGACCACCTATTCAATAATGAGAATTTCCTTAAGTCTTCAATGCACCATGCTATTTCAGGTGGCATCTTATATTTCCAATATTGTAGTAGTAGACTTTCAGCTGTCAAAAAGGTGTAGAAAGTTCATTCGTGCTGATCTTGCAATAAATTACAAGAAATGAGTAGGTAACTCAAAAGGGCATGTGGATCATTAAGTATAAAATAACTTTTCATCATATGATTTATTCAAATTATTACCTCCTCCCAAAAGGAAACAGCCATTGGGCATTGCAAAAACAAATGAATAAAGGAAACATAAGCTGCAGTGCATCTCCAACACATGGCCAATTTAACTGAGTCCTCATTTAAAAAAAAAGAAAGTGCAGTCCACTCTACTCCAAACATCAATTTCACCGATGGGGCTTCAACCACCTCCCGTGGAAGCCCATGCCATATCCTTGGGGTCCTAAATATCAGGAAGTACTTCCTGGCATCCAAATTGAACCTTGGTTCACTGAGCTTGGCTCTGTTGGAGTGCGTCCTGCATTCCTCTGCAGGGGAGAACAGATTTCTACTCACCTCCGTATGACACCCCCTCACATACCTGTATGGCACCAAGAGATCCCCTCGGAGTCTCCTCTTCTCCAGGCTGAAAAGACCCAGTTCCCTCAGTCTCACTTCATATGGCTTCCCATGCAATCCAGCCACCAACCATGTGGCCCTATGCTGCACTGATTCCAACCTTGCTATATCCTTCCAGTAATGAGGGGCCCAGAACTGAACACAATACTCAGGTGTGTGCGCACCAGAGTTGTCTAGAGTGGTAGTAATACCTCTCTCAATCTAGAAGCCACGCTTCTGGCAATGCAACCAAGGGTGAAGTTCACCCTCTTGACCTCCACATCACACTGCTGACTCATGCTTAGCCTGCAATCAACCAGCACCCTGAGATCCCTTTCATAAGTGCTGCTCTCCAACCACTTGTCCCTAAACTTATGACACCCATTCCTGTGCCCCAAGGGCAAGACCCTGCACTTATCCACACTGAACGCCATCCTGTTGTCTCCTGCCCACTTCCACAGTCTGTCCAGATCCTTCTGGATCTTGAGCATCTGCTCCTCAGTTGTCACCACTGCTCCCGTTTTAGTATCATCTGCGAATCTGATCAGCTGATTGGTCACCCCCTCTTCCAGGTCACTGATGAAAAGATTGAACAGGATCGGTCCCAGGACAAAGCCCTGGAGGACCCCATTTGTCACTGGCCACCATCCTGATGATTCCTCACTAATGGTTATCCTCCGCTTTTGGTCAGTCAACCATGCCCTAATCCATTGGACAGTGCATTGGTCTATCCCAAAACCCCTCAGTTTCTCCACCAGGATATCATGGGGCACTTTGTCAAAGGCCTTACTGAAATCCTGGCAAACCACATCAACTGCAACTCCTCCATCTAGCCACCTTGAAACCTTGTCATAGAATTCCACAAGGTTTGTCTGGCAGGACCTGTTTTTGCAGAAGCCATGTTGTGTGGCTACCAGTCTCCCTTCCCTATCTTGCATCACCAGATCTCTCGCTATTATGAGCCTTTCCATTGTTTTTCCTACAACGGACGTAAAGCTAACCTGTCTGTAATTCCCCATGTCCCTTCTACTACCCTTATCCTTCATGAAGTTGGCCCTCCTGAAGTCCCAGCTTCTAGTAGTCAACCTGCTGCTCGTTCCCATTCCCCTGATCTCAAAGGAAAGGATGGAGTGATACTCGCATCCAGAGTTCCCCTAATCTGCACCCATTCTATCTGCTCCTCCCTGTTGGTCAAGACCAAGTCAAGAATATTTCCACTCCACCTTGCCTCCCAAACCCTCCACATGAAAAACCCCATAATTACTGTGTCCCTCTCCCGAGGTATCTTTCAAATATGGTCTATCAAGACATCATCCAGGGTCTCAACTTGATCTGGAGGGTGATAACATACTGCAAGTGTCAGCTCCCTTCCCGTCAAAACCCCTTATTTTCACCCAGACCGCCTCTGCCAGATCCCTATCTATGCATTCTATCTCATTGCATCCTATCCCTTCCCTGACATATAAAGCTATGCCACCTCCCATTTCCCTTCCTGCCCTCTCTAAACAGGTGATACCCCTCTATGTTTACATTCCAGCCTTGCCTTTCATCTCACTAAGTTTCCGTGATCCCCACCAGGTCATCCCCTCCTATTCCCACGAGAGGCTCAAGTTCTTCCCGCTTGTTTCCCATGCTTCTAGTATTGGTATACATGCATCTCAGCTCCCTCCATTAAAATGTGGTGCATGGTGGAGAACTGTCATTATGAGGAGGGGGTGTGGGGGGCCTCCAGGAATATTTATATTCATTTTCATTTGCATTCTTCATGTTGATCAGAGAGAAGGGGGAGGGAGTAAATTGGGGTGTATTTTTAGGAAATAGATGCAAGAAGCGTACTGCATTTCATTTGGGGTATATCTTTTAAAAATAAAAACTTTCACTGTGTACCTACAAGGGGTAGCACTGATTTTCCCTGCCCCATCTTGGGAAATGTTGTCTTTGATGAAAAAATATGAGGAGTGGGGAGTGTTTACAGATCACCATAAATCCTGACAAGTAAGCAGTGCTGACTGGTATCAGGTTTGGGAGATCTTTCTTTTGGGGTTGTGCGTGTTGAGTTTTTGTAGAGAGACCTCCCCCTCTTCTTCAGGACTGGAATGTATATTGAACATTTCCAGCGTGCAAGCCATTGTTCAGTTTTTCATATTTGCTGGCATATTTATGTTAGTATTTGGACTGCTTCATTTTCTGTAGCTTGTGTTTCTTCTGTATATTCTTTCATTCATCTCTTTATTTTCTCTTGGCCAGATATAGTATGTTCCATTGTTTGTCTTTTATCATTCCTAATCTACGTTTGAATTGCCCTTTGATTTCTTGGATACTCTAGAAGAGGCCTCTTGTTTTTGCTCTGCTGCTGCTGTCTTCTATTTCTTTGCACTGGTTACTGTAACAGTTCTTTTTGTCTTTATGTGACAGCTGCTCCATAGTCTAGGCATGATTGCAGCTGAAAAGGAACTGAGGGGATAGGTGGAAGCCCCTCCCCATTCTTCCTGTAGGACAGGAGGGGCTTTCCATTTCCAAAATGAGTGCTTAGCTATAGAAGTTTCCTGAAAATTAGGCTCTGCACAGGTGCAAAGCCTGTAAGTGTGATGCACTGAGACCACAAAGAACAGTGATTTACAGGAAAATATCCAATAAAGTATGTAATAAGGAGACATTTACAGAAAGGCTCAAGATGCAAAATGTCTCAAAATACTTCTGTCAACTAGTGTCCTCCAAAGGCTGTGGTCTATGGTTCCCAACATTCCCCACCACTGGCCATGATGTCTGAGGCTGATGGCAGCTGAAGTCCAAAATATCTGATGGGGAGCAGGTTGGAGAAGGTACACTAGATTAACTAGGTTAGACTTGATCTGTGAAAGATCTAACCTCCCCCGCACACCCTTCATTGCATATCTTCAATTACATGCCAAATTTCCATTTTATTTGTATTTTTCTCATGGCTTCAAAGATTCTGTAAAATTGTAAGGAATTGCCACCAATCCCAGCACACTAAACACAATACAGCTAGTCCCAGCCCACATGTGGAAACAGAATGCTGTTCTGTGGATCCAGAACACTACTTACAGGCAGCTAGATGACATGTAACATGTCTGGATTCTGGGAAAATGGAAAAGGCAGCCCAAAATATTAAAGAATAACCAAATAACTAATGAACTAAATATCTTAGCAAATGTCTCTATAGGGAAAAGAAGCTGAACTGTGGAATTCAATTTTGTTTAAGGTAGCAGTGAGAAATAGTTTGACCCTTCCCCAAGTCCACAAAAGGTTGTAAAGAGGCGGAAAGTTACTCCCCCATGAAGTAAGGGTGGGGGAGGAACTGAAAAAGAGGATGCTCTTGTTGGGATGTGAGTGCTGTTTGCAAAAAAAAAAAAAAAAAAAAAAAAAAAAACCAAACAGCCCTGTCTCTGCAAATGATCCCTTGAATCTTTGGTTTCAATGGGCAGCTAAACCTCTGCAAGCCTGCCATTGAAAGAAAGGCACTGATGAAGGGATTTCCAATTTTGGATGAGACAATGTGGAAGGGGTGCTTGCTACAAGAGAACACTGCATGTCCCTGTACACATTGCCTCTGCAGAATCTGGAGCTTGCCTCTGTTGTGCTGCAGGGAACAAGCAACGGGAACAATTTCTAAAAAGAAAAAGTAAAGTGTGCACTCATTTGCAGAGATAAATGTAAAAATACTGGGCAAACACACAAAGTCCCTCCAAGGTACTGTGCTGCAGGACACTTTAAAGGTGATTGTAACTGCAAGTTTTCCAGCTGGTTTTTGCAATCTGGAAAAAAATGGGACAAGGCATATTCACCAGCTGAAATCTGCTAGTGCTCGTGCTGGGATGCAGTAGCAGTTTCTGCCAGTCAGCCATAATTGCTGATTAGGCACTTTGGGGATGGCTGGCAAAGTCTGTTAACCAGTAGCCACTTGTACAGAGTTGCAAGTGTTTTATGTCACTCTTGCAAAGGGGCTGATTGACTGTAAGTTCTCACCAATGACGGGCTGTGTTGTCCAGGTTTGGAGGACATGACAAGCCACCATGAGTGACCACAATGCTAGAACAACCAATGGGCAACACAGGATGGCTTAATCTGCTCTTGGCTAAGTGACAACCCAACAGAAGATAAATAATAGGTTGTCCTTGCAATGGTCACAGCAGCTAGTCAGGGAAAGCCTCCTCCATCAATGTTAGAATCCAGCAGGAAACAAAGAGCTCCCCCAACTTTTGAATTTTTACCCCGTTTCCTAGGTGATGCAGTGACGCCTGACAGCCTATCCGATGAGGCATCTTTCTCCCCTGCCCCATCAGCTGCCAGCAATTTACACCTTCAAAGGTGAGGACAATAACACCAGCCAGATATCCTTGGCTTGAACACATCCTTGCAATACCTGGGTACATCAGTTATTCCCTTCTGGCTGGTGCCTAAAGTATCTCCTGAAGCAAGTAGTTCTTTCATTAACCCTTCCCTATCTTGTGAGACCTTTACTACATTATTCAATTTTTAATGTTTTCCAGTTTCAAATTGGTGCAGTCTAACACAGCCTAAGTTCCATTTTTAAGCTACCAAAAGAAAGAGACAGTCTGTCTGGAAATACTAAATATCATGCACAAAACTGATTCAGGAAGGTGTCTTTTATTACATATTTTATTGCAATATTGCCAGTGAGAAACCTTAAAACTGATACAAATGAATTGCAATATATTTACCTTCAAAGTGATTACATCACCAATTGCTTCTAATAACCCTGATTTTAAGCTTTACTCCATGAAGTATGTTTGGCAAGCAGTAAGTGAGATCTCCATGCAAATAACAGTTCTAACCTACATCAGTATGCTAGTCTGAATGAATTCCAGGTCTGGCACATGCATAGCAATGGCATGTTTCCAGAAGTACAAAAATGACGTCAACGGCTTGTGTAATCATCTTGTCTTCACTGTGTTTTATAAACAAAGTTCTCCCCCCACCTGCAAACCCAATTGTCTCTCATTTTCTCACTGGGAAAAAATCTTATATTAGCCAAAGCTTTAGGCTAATATAACTTGTGGTGGTGGTGTTTGTTTCTTAATTGAAAAACTATTCATCTATCCACAATAAACTGAAACCACTGCATTTTAAAATCAAGATTGGTTACTGGAGTCCTCTCTAACTGTAAGAAGCCTACAGCAATTTGTGGGGGGTGGAGACAAAGAGTGGGGAACATGGTAAGGAGGACTGGCACAGTTTGATAAACAGAAACACTTACAATTCCTGTCCCTTCAATAAGAGCCTTTTGATAAAGGCTTTTCTGATAAATAAAAGCCAGCTATCCTTTAAGCTGGTTAACTGAGTGGGCAACTTGGAATCCTTTAGATGTTTTGGCCTACAACTCCCAACACCCCTTACTATTGGCTAGCACCATTAGGAGTTACAGGCAAAAACATCTGGAGGGTTACAAGTCACCCAACCCTGCTTTAAGACAAGTATTGTCTATATTTCTAAGGATTGTACTGAATCACATTTATAGATGTTTTGAATGGTTAAATAAGAGGCAAGAGTGCACACGCACGCGCACGCACACACACACACACCATCTCCATCATACATATGAGGTCAGGCATATACTATTCTCACTAACTGTGGTCACAGAGAAAACTGTTCTGTCCTTTCTTTGGTAAACATACTACTTTTGTCTATACTACAAATGAAGCATATCACAGACAGATTTAGAAATAAGACTAATTACACTGCCCTATCTAAAGGTTCACCAATTATCAGACATTAAAAACTTAAAATAATTCTTCCACTTCTTACATACTTCATCAGTATTAATAATATTCAGAATGTTTTGAAAAGGAGAGGCAGAGAAAATGAGCAGCAAACTACTTTAGAACGAGCTTGCCAGGCTTTCAGCTGTGAACAGGACTCAAGATTCCCAGGTGCCAGTCCACTATTCAGAACTATTCTCCTCACACAGAACGGTATTCTGGTGTCTGAATTAAGTAAGCAGACATCCCTCACTCAAATTGCTGATTTTCAATGGAATCTCTTGTTACTAGCTACAGCTTTAGGAGGCAACATTTTGAACAGTCTTCAAATATATCATTTTCCCCTGTGTTCTCTAAGAACATCCTCACAGTAAGCAATCCAAGGATGAAGACAAATTGGCATTACATAATTATAAGCTGTGCATATTACAGCAAAGACAATTTTAAATGGGTGCATTAAAAATGTATGAGCAAGAACCAGCACTGGCATACCTACCTTGTTAATGTGCAGCTGCTGCTGCTGAAATTGCTGTTTGTGTTTTTCCAGGAACTGCTGATGCTGTTGTTGGATCACTAATTGCTGGAGGGCCTGTGCATTCTGGGGAAGAGGAGCAGATTGTGTGCGCCCCAGAGGGCGGTGTTGCCGCAGTTTATGTATTGAGGGAGAGAGTCGATCCGTACCCACCAGGGACTGCGCATGGAGGGGGAGTGAAAGCCCTGAAAGATACCAGTCTGAATATAATATGGAGGAAAACAGTGGAGAAGAAAGAGGAAGACAAGAGGAAGGGAGAAGACAACTTTTAAGTAACTCTCACAGTAACAATGATGTGTGTTAAGCCAGCCACCATGTCATTTTGTGCCGCTGAAAACTTTTTAAAATAAAATTACAGTAAGTTAAAAATGTGGAAAGAAAGAGTTCCTGTGACAAACAATAGATATAGAAGAAGGCACCTTTTGGTGCCTGGTTAAGAGTCACGATTAGCAAGTAGGCATCGTAAGTGAAAGGTGAGGGAAGTCCTGTATGAAATGCAGGCTTACTCATCACAATCAGATCAACAGAGTCTCCCTTTATTCTCTATCTTCTGTACAGTGTGGGCACTTGATTCCAAAGTGAGAGCTCAGCATTTTGCATTAGCAAGGTGGGATAAGAAAGTTGTTTATAAAATTATGCACCCTAAAGCAATAACAGAAAGACCCTCAATATAACCCATAGTCTATTTTAAGATTGTTTAATCCTCACATAATTCATGCTGGCTGGGTCCAGATGTTAGAACAACACTAAATGGGGACTGTATACAGAATTGGTGTCTGTGGGCGTCACACCTTGTTGTTAAATACACAACGGTGCTCTTGGTCATCCAAGCTTCATCAGTCTGCCATTTCAGTCACTATGATAATAAATTCTCTCAATTTGGGTATTCATCATCTGCATTCCTTTGGTATATCACACTCAAGCCTAGTTTACACAAACTTATCTCAACTTATTAATAAATGCATAGATCTTGTGACTGTGCACTCCATCATCACCTTGCTCCTTCCCTCCACATTTTGCAATGTGCTGACATTTAAGTTTTCTTGTATGTCTGAACCAGGACTGGAACAAAACAGGATTAGAAACAGACCTCAGACACAAAAAGGGGAAGGGCAGGGTTTAGGATGGAGCACACTGAGATCTGCACATCTGAATTTGGCCTTTTTCAGTGTTGATTCTGAGGAAAACACACAAGCTTTTTCAATATAGCTCTAGTTTCTCTCACCTGGGACTAAGGGATTTTGTGCAGTTGGTTGTTCCAGTAAGACCATATGTTGAAGAAGAGGGTTGTGTGTGGTTCCACCATCCCTGTCCACTGTGGTACTGCTCAAATAAGGAGTGAGGTGGGTGCCAGGAAATATGGAGATTCGTTGTTGTAATGATGGAATGGCAAGTCTTTCAGCATCCTGCTGTCCTGAGCCCCCCTGCAAGCATATAACTGGTAATGCATTGGGCCTCTGAATGCAGTTAATGTAACCACCAATCCCTTAAACTTTACATTAAACAGCACTTACACTGGTTGGGGCAGTTGCAGGCAGTCCTAATGTTATATTAGGCAAGGAGGGAGAAGTGTACAAAGGAAGCTGTGTTACTGAGCCTTCACGATTCACAAGTCTATGAGCCAGGTTGGACTGAAAGAGAACCAAAAATGCTGCTTCAGGGCTTTTTTATTAGGAAAGACAGAAGACACCTCAAATGTAGCATTCAATTAGTAGAAATGGTTCCAGGTCCTTTCACAGCTTTTACAGGTGATGGCAAAAACAAGTCCTAAAATTTGGGGGGGGGGGATTTGAGGGAGGGGGATTTGGAATTGTTCCTATTTTGTCCTGCAATAAAAAGACTGCTGCCCTTTCAAATGGTGAAGCAGCATGGCAGTGTTTCATCTTTATTTTGAATCATATGTCCAGTAGGAATACTATCGTATCATGTCACAGCAACATTCCCAATGTCTAGGATGCTGCCCTTCTAGACATTGGCTTCAGTTTAACATCATACATTATGTGAGGAAAGTCATGCATTTACTCTTCTCACTGATAATCATGGACCTTACAATAGTGGTCACAGGGGAAACCATCTATCCTCCCCTGTAAGAATACCCTAGGGAATGATGCTACCATGACTTAATATTCCCTATGGAGAATTTCATTTAAAATAAAGATTGAACACTGCCAGACTGCTCAGTCACCACTTTAAGAGGGAAAATGCTTGTATGGTAGCTGGTGGAAAACAACAACAACAACTTTGCCTGCCTCCTTGAAATGGTAAGGTATCTCCCCATCCCCATTATTATTTTGGTACCCAAAATATTACCAGGAATCCTTTGATGTTCTGGGGAGAGGAGGAATGAACGGCCCTGTAAAAAAAAGCAGGGAGAGGGGATCTTCCCATCCAATTTGTAATCACAACAGTCTTGAAAGTTAGCATTAGGTTGACAGAACATAACTGGGAAAGATAGAAGGTAATTCCATTACTGCTAAAAATAAAAGAATGGTGCAACAGGCACCCACATTTTAATTTTTTTATTATTAATGTAGAAGAAGAACTAGATCTTTCAAGCCAAAATTTTTCTTGAAAGCAAAAATTATGAAACTGAAGCTCTTGTAGTTTGGGCACATCACGAAAAGGCAAGATGCACTGAAGAAGACTATACTGCCAGGGACAGAAGGGCCTGGAGTTGAGCAGCCAAAATCCATGTGATATCCAGGCAATACAATCATCAGTTTTCCAGGATGCCTGTTACAGGATCCCCACCCCACTCCACCTCCACCCCGTCCTCAGCGACTTCACCACATCCACAATAACTGAAACTATTTATTTATTTATTTATTTATTTATTTATTTATTTATTTATTTATTTATAACATTTTTATGCCGCACCCATCGCCGAAGCCTCGGGGCGGCTTACAAAGAAAATAAACAAACAAAGAATAGAATAACATTAAAAATTTGGAGTTTCTCGGCCATAATTTAAAACCACAAATAAAACAACTGATTAACAATTAAAATATCATTTGAATAAAAAGGTCTTCACCTGGCGCCAAAAAACAAATAACAACAGCACCAGGCGGACCTCTCTGGGGAGTGCATTCCATAGGTGGGGCACCACCGCAGAGAAGGCCCTCCTCCGGGTATTCACCCTCCTAATATCCTTCACAGAGGGCTCCCGGAGAAGGGCCTCCCCTACCGATCTCAGGGGGCGGGAGGGCATATATGGATGCAAGCGCTCCTTTAGATAACCAGGTCCCAAGCTGTTGAGGGCTTTATAGGAGATAACCAACACCTTGAATTGGGCCCGGACTTCAATGGGGAGCCAGTGAAGCTGACGGAGAACTGGGATTATATGAGAACAACGCCCAGTCCCCATCAGCAACCTGGCAGCTCTAATTTGCACCAATTGAAGTATCCGGACTGTCTTCAAGGGCAGCCCTACGTAGAGCGCGTCACAGAAATCTAATCGAGAAGTTACCAATGCATGTGTCACAGTCGCCAGGCAGTCGTTCTCCAGGTAGGGACGCAGCTGATGGATCAGCCGAAGCTGAAGGAAGGTGCTCCTCGCCACCACTGTTACTTGAGCTTCTAATGTCAGCTCTGGGTTGAGCAGCACTCCCAAGCTGAGGACCCTGTCCCTAAGAGGGAGTGCAACCCCGTTCAGGACAAGGTCCAGGTACCCTACCAACAGGACCTCCGTCTTGTCTGGATTGAGCTTCAGTTTATTGGCCCTCATCCAGTCCATTACCTCAGCCAGGCACCGGTTCAGTCCAGCCACCGTCTCACCCGGATTAGTTGAGAACGAGAGGTAGAGCTGGGTATCATCAGCGTACTGATGATTCCGCAGCCCACACCTCCTAATGACCTCTCCCAGCGGTTTCATGTAGTTGTTGAATAGCAAGGGGGACAAAATGGACCCCTGCAGAACTCCATGGCATAGCTGCCATGGCGCAGAGCCATAGTCCCCCAGCACCACCTTCTGGAATCGGCCATTGAGATAGGAGCAGAACCACTGCAAAGCAGTGCCTCCGACCCCGCAATCCCGCAAGCCTATCCAGAAGGATACCATGGTCAATGGTATCGAAAGCTGCTGAGAGGTCCAGGAGAACCAACAGGGACGCACTCCCCGTCCCTCTCCCTGCACAGGTCATCATGCAGGGCAACCAAGGCAGATTCAGTAACATACCCGGGTCTGAAGCCGGACTGAAATGGGTCCAGATAATCAGTTTCATCCAAGAGTGCCTGGATTTGTCCCACCACCACCCGCTCTAACACCTTGCCCAAGAACGGGATGTTGGCCACCGGTCTATAATTGGAGGCCACCTCTGGATCCAATGATGCCTTCTTTAGGACTGGCCGGACTACCACCTCCTTTAAAGGGGCAGGTACCCGGCCATCCCTCAGAGAGGCATTGTCGACCTCCAGGATCCAGGTCCCAATCCCGTGCTTGGCTGTCTTGAGTAGCCAAGATGGGCAAGGGTCCAGTAAGAAGGTGGTGGGATGTACCTGTCCAAGCACCTTGTCCACATCATCAGGCCGCAACAACTGAAACTCATCCATCAATTGTGGACCAGACGGTAGCACTGGCACCTCCCCAGTAGGATCTGATTCACTAGTGGTGTCCAGCTCGTGACGAATCTGAGCTATTTTCTCCCAGAAATGTTTGGCGAAGTTGTCACAGCGGGCCTTCGAGGGTGGCACGAGATCTTTCTTTGGGCCCCGATGTACCAACCCCTGTACGACCTGAAAGAGCTCCACCGGACGGCATTGTGAGGAGGCAATGGAAGCGGAGAAGAATTTCTTCTTCGCCGCCCTCACCGCCACAGCATAGGCCCAATAATGGGCTCTCAAGTGTGTTCGGTAGGATTCATTCAGTGATTTCCTCCACCTATGCTCTAGACGTCTCCCAACCCACTTCATCGCTCGTAATTCCAGTGTATAACAATGGGCTCTGTCAGGTAGGAGAGGACGCTTAGGAGCGATCGTGTCAATAGCCCTGATCATTTCCCCATTCCATAGTTCGACCAGAGCTTCGACAGGAGCACCAGCCTTATCAACCAGAAAATCCTCCAGGGCCTTCACGACTCCATCCAGATCCATCCGGCTCCAGGGGCAGACCAGCACAATCGGGTCCGCACCCTTACAGAGGGAAAGGTCACTCTCGAGCTCAAACCTCACGAGGAAGTGATCTGACCATGACAGGGGAGTCAGACACAAGTTCCTCACCCTCAGATCACCCTCTTCCTGCCCCGTTGAGAAAACCAGGTCCAGAGTGTGTCCATGTTCATGGGTTGGGCCAATAATGTGTTGAGACAGCCCCATAGCTGCCATGAAGTCCTGAGCCGCCCCGGTCAGAACCATCTTGGCATGGAGATTGAAGTCCCCCAGGACCAGCATCCTGGGAGTCTTCAACACCAAATCCGAGACGATCTCCCTCAGCTCAGGCAGGGAGTCTGTTGGGCAGAAGGGTGCACGGTACACCAGCAGAATCCCCAATCTGTCTCGGTCGCCCAACACCAAGTAGAGGCACTCTAGACTTGGCCTCGAGGGTACTGGAAGCCCCGTGAGGGAAATAGAGCCTCGATAAACCAAAGTGACCCCCCCCCCTCCAACTAATACAATAAAACATGATGAGGTGGGGCTCTGAATACTTCCATAGATTGTACCATGGAATTAGGTCCACCCAAGTCAAGAAGAGAGGCATAACAGGTGAAGTCTGACACTGCCCATTCTCCAGGACATCTGAGCAGGCTCAGTGCTATAGACAGGATCCTTGAACTGCATACTGGAGGCACTGTGTTACAGTGGCTGCTACTTTTAGCACATTTCCCAAAGAAAGGTTTGGGAGGCTTTAGCGCAGCTTGATGTCAGTTATTTTATGGAACACTGCAAGGCTCCATGTTATCTCCCATGCGATGCACTAGCACCTGGAATAAATTGACTTCTTACCCTGCTTAGCTTGGGACCAAAATACCTGAAGAAACACCTTCCCCCATATCAATCTGCCTGTGCATCAAGATTATTACTGAAGCGAGGACTAGGAAGGGGAGCTTCTTAGTAGTGGCACCCTTTAATAGAATATTCTTTCTAGGGGGGCTAAGATGTCACCTACTTTGCAATCCGTTTGGCATGAGGATAATACTTTATGAAAGCATTAGCAAGCTTTTAACTATTAATCAGTATTACTTGCCAGTTTTTACCTGCCTTTTCATACCATTTAATTCTGCGCTCAAGTTGATATTTACTTTAACTGAATTAGGTTCACAGTTTTTTTCTACAGAAAACAGAAAATATTTCTACTGAGAGATAAAGAGCTCTGCTCTATAACTGGAACAAAGCTTTGGATTATTTAAATTACACGGAGGTGACAAGGAGATTTTTGTAATAAAAAACCCTGTCACTAAATGGAAGCTGAGCTCATTCTTCGGTATAGCCTGAACTGCCTGATCCTGCCTTAGTTTGGAAGTTAGGCAGGGTCAGGCCTGGCTGAAATCTGGTTGATGGGTGACATAAAAATTGTGAGCCACCCAGAGAGTTTCAGCTATGGGTGGTATAGGAATGTAATGCAATGTAATTATTATTATCATCTTAATTATTATATTCACTACTTAAAACATTGAATATTACAAGTTTGGATACTTAATGCTTTAAAAACATTATTTTAATTTCAGTGCCTGCACATACTTCACTTGCACTGTAAATGCTATTGCTCCATTGTAACAGAAATAGACTGTTACACTTGTTCTCTCAACATTTTCCATTCATATTCTTAAAATCTACCCACATCAGAAGTAATATATTTGGCTTTCCATAATGTAGAATAGCATACAATAGCAAACAGCCCCTACTTTGCACAGATGGGGATAGTCCTAGAAGTGATACACTGAAAAATGCAATCAAACTTAGACCTGTCAAGAGTTGGACATGTTGTCTACACTGAGTGAAGCCATGGCCATTAGCACCCTCAGAGATGGTGTTATTCAGGCACAACCCCATAGCTCTTAAGGGAAGGTTCCATTCACTCCATTTCTCTGAGAAGCCTGCCCTTGCCCAGACCACTAATTTCTCCTAGCTTCAAATTATTTTGACTGTAAATAGTGACTTAAAATGTTGGTGGGGCTGCCCAAGAGCAGCAGAGAGAGGCAGACACATAGCTCTAACCCTCTCTGTTCTATTGTTTGCTGGTTTCCCACTGTAGGGTCTTGCAACGATATGTGCCAGTTAGAAAAGCCTGCCCTTACAGATTGAATTGTAGACTTCAACTGCATGGACATTTTTAATTAATTAAATTGATGTGTTTTAAGAACAATGGAACCCTCAGTATAGAACCTTAGGGTCCCTACTTCAGTATGCCTGGGTTTTACTGTCTCTGCAACATGGTAGAGACAGACGGATGGATATGCCACACACCTTACTTTTATACTATAGATAAACTGCCTGGCTTGGCAAAGCACCTGGGCTTGAGATACTCACCTCTACCTGATATATCTCAGAATCTTGACCTAGCTAATCCTCCCCAATTTCACTGAAATACGTTTCACTTTCTGATTCCAAATAGTTTGGAATGCAGCCAACAGTCCGTGGGAATGATTGCCCTAGACCACCATCCTTCTTACTCCCAGCAGTGTGTGTACAATATCATACATTTATAATACAGCTTGGCTCTCCACACTGTATAATACAATTCGAAATACACTGAAATAATGCAAAGCAGTGTGTCTTACCTCTGCTTGAATATTCGCAACTGATCCAGTAATTCCATTCTCAGCACTTATGTTACTGGAACTATTATTTGGAGAACTAGGGCCAGATCCCGGAGCACTATTGCATGCAGAATCTTTAAAAAAACAAACAAACCACACACACACACCCAAAGCCATTTGTTAACAATATTGTTTAAAAAAAACACACACCATATATCAGCAACAATAAAGAAAAAGTTTTGTGACTATTTCAGCCATCCCTAACCTGGTACCTTCCAAGTGTTTTGAACCCCAACACCCAGAAGGCCCAGCCAGCAAGGCCAACAATCTGGAATGCTGGGAGTCAAAGGTTACCAAATGAGAAAGGCTGAACTATTCCAAAACACTTCAGTCTTCATCTACACAATTATAAATGAAGAATGTCACTAATAATGTGTTAAGAATCCTCTTTATACCTGAACATCTTTAACATTAAGTACAAACAGTATTTAAAATGAGAAAGATCCATGGGCTGAGTCTAGAATTCCCATGAGCAGAATACCATCCCTGTTCTGCAGGAGAGAAGAGGGAGTGACTTTCACGGATTCCTCTTTCCTCTGACAACACAATGAAAAGCTGCTCAGGAGGGTCAAGGAACCTTGAGGAACAGTAGTGGGGTAGAGGCCTTTAGAAAAACATGTTAAAAGGTTTTGTCCTTTCATGCACTTCCCCCTTTCAATTTCCAACATTAGCCTCTGCTGCATGTCAGTACCAAACAAAAGAACAATGCTGAAAGCTTACTCTGTATCCAACCTATCCATTAATTGTAATAACTGCAAAAGATACAGGCTATTAAACAAACATATTCTCAGATCTGGTGGGTATTTCTACTGTGCTAAGATTTTAAAGAGAAAATGTTAACAAAAATACCATGCTAACTTGTTGTATGAGACACCTGCTTTTCTATTTGCAGAATTTAAACAAGCATCAGGTGAAATTACACCTTTAGAAATTCACTTTTCAACTGCTGCCAAAATTGTTATAATCTATTGGGATAAAACTACACATTCCCATAAATATTAGCACCTCACAGTTTGCATGTTAGCCACAATCTTCAAATGGACTAATTTGAGAGGTTAAGGAGAAACAGTCCTGACAAATTTGCTTAAATTGGATACTCAAAAGAGCAATACAGAAAGACTAGTCATCATTACAATAATTTTACTCCAATACAAAGTTTACACAATTCATCTACATATTTTGTAATTTGAAAATAATAGCTTAATAGGTGGCTCTATAACCTACCTGTGACATCTATTGGCCGCTTTTTAAGAGCTGTTACTACAGGACCATCTTTTCGTCGTAACAAGGGGCTGCTGCGCCTTTCAGCAACCTTCTGCTTTAATCTGGATCTCAATTTGAGATTGGGTTCAGATGCTGGAATTAGAAATGGCCAAGGGATGAAATGAACCTGTGCAAAAGAGCTTTCCAGTAATAATATTTTTTGAAGCAAAATATGCTGGATATGTTCAAGACATAACTAAGAAAGAACAATATTATTTCCACTGAACTAGAACAATATTCTAAAATACTGATTTAGGCTAACATTGGATTTAGATTAATATGGTTTTAGACTAATATGGTTTTAACCACAGTGGCCTTTTTACATGATCAGGCAAAACAAATTTGGTTCCCATCCATTTACACTTTCCAAAACAACCCAGGAATGTCCTATTCCTCAAGTCATCATTGCTTGCAAACCCAGCCCTCTAAGTTACTTACTTTTAAACAACCGAGAGTTTTTAACCTATGGTTTCAGTCTGTCCCTTAGAAGGCCAGACCACTGAGCCCCATGAAGAAAGGAAACATCTAGCTGGAGGACAGCTGGTACGCATATTTAAAACCACAGTTTAAATTACAGTATTTTTACTTTAGCTCATCTACAGGATGAGTTCACTGCAATGAGCTAACATTCAATTCAGTGAATGAGAAGTAAATCAAAAGCAATTCCTTACAGATTACATTTACTTCAATCCATACTATTTGAAATATGCATAGCTTGGAAAGAACTATATCCCTCTTCAATACAATTACTCATAGGTAACTTGGTATCGACGGTGAGGCTGGGCTGATTCACAGTGTGCTTGTTAACAAATGTAGGAATAAGCTGAAAGTTTTATTTAAGCTGCTACATCTACTAAATGCTATTAAATATTTAAATAGCAGATTGAGTTTACCAAGTACTTTACAATTCAGACTGCAAGATGATTGAAAGTATTATTGCATGCATGTTTAGACTCCCATTATGCTAGGGGTTGTAGAATTTTTCTGTCTCAACATGCAGGACTGCATCCTAACTAAAAATATTCAATCAAAATTATGGGCCCATTTAATCCAACACACAATCACACACCCATACACACATGCCAGGCTTCATATGACAGAACATCCCATTGTAGGGATGTTCATACAGTGGGTTGCTTTTTGGTGAACTGAACTGTTTTCTACAGAGAGGTTTGTTTGAGGGCAATAAACAATCCTGACAAACCATGGGTTCTTCTGGACTTTATGAATCCATGGGCTACTGCCAGTAAAAACTATTCCCTTGATGCCCAGGATGGTGAAATAATCATTACTGACTTGGTATCCCTTGTGAATTGTTCAATTTTTTTAAAATTAACTTCCACCACCCATTTTTTAAATTAACTTCCACCCATTAACAGTCAATAAAAGCCCTTGCAAATGGCATGCTGGAGGGTTCACAGGTTTGACACCATTTTTAAAATTATTTTCTAACTGCAAAAATGAGCACAAATTTTTGATTAAACTTTTTAAAAAGCCACTCAAATGAAGTTTGTGCACATTTGCGGGTATCCAACATGTAGAACCTTGTTTGAGCAATATCCTGGGAAAATGAAAGTGCAATAGGAACCAAAAAAGACTGCTAATATGTCAGGTTGTTACTTTGTACTTTTTTAGAAACACAGAAAAATAGAAACAGAGCGAGTCAGAAGGGGCCTCCTGGGCCATCTAGTCTGATCCCTGGCTCCAGCCAGCTCCATTCATGAAATGACTACCATTTACAACTCCACCAGCCTATCCTTAAACACCCTTAATGATGGGGCTTGAACCACCTCCCATAGAAGCCCATTCCATACCCTTCCTGGCATCCAAACTGAACCTTGGTTCACTGAGCTTGGCTCCGTTGGAGTGCGTGCTGCCCTCCTCTGCAGGGGAGAACAGGTCTCTACCCACCTCCATGTGGCATCCCCTCACATACCTGTATGTCGCCAACAGATCCCCTCAGAATGTCCACTTTTCCAGGCTGAAAAGAACCAGTTCCCTCAATCTCGCTTCATACGGCTTTTCCTGCAATCCGGCCACCATCCTCGTGTCCCTACATTGTGCACTGACTCTAACCTGACTATATCCTTACTGTAATGTGGAGCCCAGAACTGAACACAATACTCCAGTTGCGGGTGCACCAGAGTCATATAGAGTGGGAATAATACCTCTCTCGATCTAGAAGCCACGCTTCTGGCTTTCTGACAGCAAAGATTTTTTATCATAGAAGGGATGGCCAATAAGTACCCCATTACACAGCTGGAGAAGTACGGGGAAAGGGGGAGAAGACAACAGTGAGCCAAGTTATCTGCTGGGCACATTATGGGTTGTTTGAATAAACAAACCAGAATTGTTTCTTCTAGGGTTGCTATGATGTGTAAACCCACCCAATAGCACTTCCTTTCAAGGATATATGCATGTATTTGCTTTGTGCTTCATTGGCTTCAAGCATACATTTTAATTTTAAATGAAGGTTTAATCTAGAAATTAAATAAAATCACATTTTTCACACAAAAGGTCATAAACTCTTTGCTATTATCTTTTGTTTGAACACACAACTACTGTCTGATCACTGCTACACTAAAATCTTGGATTTCTCCATTATTTTTGTGGGCAGATGTCACCTCTGCTACAGTGATGACCTAAAGTGGTTTCTAAAGTCACCAGGAAGCTGGGTCATGAATCTGACTCTACTATGTGCCTGTAGTCTCAACAACTTAGAAAGAGCTATCTGGAAATGGTTCAGACTCAACAAACAGACCTGGACTCTCAGCAAAG